GAACTTTTCAATTTTCTTGTTAGGGGTATGAGGGGTGACCCACTCCCTCTAGAAGATTTTACAATTCTAAGACACTATTTGGTGCTCCCTGGACACTTTCAAAGTGTATGAGTCAATTAAAACATTTGAGAAAATCACAATTTTTCCAGTATTTGGAGTGGTGTCAAAAGAGGGGGGTGCCAGAGGGGGAGGTGGGGTGGGGATGCCAGAGGGGGGGCAAGTATCAGTCCCCCAGAAACATTGACTATATATATCAAGGAGCTACTTGATGATGTCTGGGCACTTTAAAAGTGTCTGAGACTATACATAAAATAAATTCAGAACTTTTTCAATGTTTTGTGGGGGGTGTGAGAGGTGGCCCCATCCCCCCAGAAAATTTTACAATTTTGAGATGCTATTTGGTGCTTTCTGGTCATTTTCAAAGTGTATGAGTCAATGAAAAAAAAAATTCAAAAAAAAATTTTCAAAAAAAGATTTTTTTTTCAAATTTTTTTTTGGGGGTGTCAAAGGGGGGTGCGGTCGCACCCATCGCACCCCCCCCCCCCCATCTGACGGCCCTGACATATATTGATATATTCAATGAATATTATCCATATTAGAACAAGAAAGGGGGAGGGGGCTCATTTACCAGTCAAAACAGACTGCCCTGGCCTCTTTCTTGAGGATATTTAATAAGTTAGACACCTAACAATAGCCATCAAAATATGCTTGATACCCATCAATTTGGGTAAAAAAAGTTGAATATGTTCACATATTTGATCTTCCAAGGCAAACATATAAGAAGTTTGTTCAACTGAATTTTTTAATCAAAATGGCTTGGACAAAATCAAATGAACAGCAAGGTGAATGAATCATTTCAAAACTGAGTCCCAGGCTTCAACATGTAATTCAGGAATTGAGGGGTCATATCAAACATTGTCTAGTTTAATGCATTGCACCCATAAACTTTACATGAGATAAATAAGTGACTGAACTATGCTCAGTTAAAGTTTGGTGCATTTTAGAAGAAAAATAAAGTTTTTTTGTTCAATTATCAAATGTTCCAATTTTTTTGGACCACCCTGTATATCAAAGTTGTAATGCAACAACTGGCATGGTGGGAATTACATTGCTTTACATGATTTAATATTCCTTTGTATCCTCTACTTTAAAAAGTAGGCTCCTCATTGGTCAGTCGTGTAGCACTCTGTATTCATGACTCAAACACATGAGTGAACCCATTTGAGGACATGTCACGCAGGGTTTAGCTTTCCACTCTCCATATAAGTAAAAATAGGACCCACGGTCCCAGTCACACAGTGTAAAACCTTCAGAGGAATGTATATCCTGACTTTCAAAAAAGATATTGATTTGGATTTGTAGTCTTGAACTTTGAGAAACTTAGATAGCACAGTTGTGTGACCTAGTTTGATAACCTTTGACCTTGAACATTTTACTTATTCAGAGCTCAGTGAGGTCTTTTGTGATTAAGCTGACCAAAATTTACATCCAAAAATCAATTTGAAAAATCAACTTTTTTGACCTTTTGAAGGTCACTGAAGGTCAAGTAAAGGTCAAATCCTAAAACTAATGTCAGACTTGAACTCCTGGCAACTTGTAGATGATTTTCAAAAAAGATTTGGTTAAATTGAAGCAAGTTAAAAAATAACTTATTTTTACTGTTTTTTGACGTCAAATATCTCAAAAACGGTAAAAATTTGATGCTGACATATAGTGACCAATATGTAGGGAATGCTTAAATCTACTAATGATGCAATTCATTGCAAGAAATGATCAAGTATAAGGCAAACTTTGAGAAACTTGTCAATCATAAAACCTGCCATTGACTTTATACATGAGAAAGTTTCCTTAAAATGACGAAGTCCTACTTTTTGTCAAATTTTATTGAGTAAACACCAAAAACTGTAATTCCAAGAGCTTTGAAATCTTCAGAGGACATAAATTGCATATACAGCAACTACTACACGTTATTTGAAAGTTCTACTTCAACAAGGTGTCTAGTACAGAAAATTTGACTTTTTGACGTCAAAATCAGCAATTTCTCGGAAACCGGGCGAACTTGGGAAATGGCGATGATAGGTCAAATAGCCATTATGGATATGCATAAAATGAATGTGGATATGACTCAATCCGAATAGCAGTTTTAATTTGTGCGGCCAATGTTGACGGACGGACGGACCAACGGACAGACGGACCAACGGACGGATGGACGCCTGGTCGATCCCATAGGCTCACTGTGTGAGCCAAAAATTGCACGATCAGAAGAGTATGGTGCATAGTTTTAGACATCAAGACCTAGCTCCTCTATAGCTGCAGAGGTATTTAATGCTAACCTGCAGGTAGACAAGTTATTAAGGTGGATGATTGGCTTAAAATCGGGTCTTTTAAAAAATCAACCGTGATTGTGCAGACTGTTAAACATAATGATATTCCAGGAAATTGAAATAAATATTATCATTGTTATTAAATCATACTTGAATATGAGTTGTATAGCAACCCCTCTACAAAAACAACACAACTAATAAAATGACCAAGAAATGTTGTATTATGATAGGTGAATAAGATACTTTCTCCAGTTATACAAAAATGTTACATTTTCATGAATAAGTTACCCCGGGTATTGTGATGTCATGTTTCTATAGTAACCATAACTCTACCCGCATTTTATCATTTTTTCTGAAACTCTACAACCTTAGTTGCAATACTTCAAAGTACAATTTGTGAACATTTGAAGACACAAAGTGCAGAATTGACAAAATGCCAGCACCAGTCCTGTTACTTATGGAACACCCTGTAGTGATTTGTAGATAGCGATAGTGATGGAGGAGTATTTTATATTGAGGAACTAAATGATACGTTGTACCTGTACGTTGGTGGTGTTTTGTTGACCATGTCCAAGGTCATCCTTTAATGGCATTAGGACCGGGTAGGTTGGGGTCGTCGTCGTCGTCGTTGTTGGGGTCGTCGTCAATGTTGTTTGGGTCGTCGTCGTCGATGTTGTTGGGGTCGTCGTCGTTGGGGTTGTCGTCGCCGTTGTTGTTGTCGTTATTTTTTCGGCTGAAAGCAGGCAGCATTCATAAAGACTGGGTTCTTTTCTCAGAGTTCCCTCTGTAAGACATGTGGTAGGCATTTTTGTGTTAAAAGTGTTGTGAAAAGTATTTCTTATGAAAAGTAACTAGCTGCTATCACGGAGTAATAGAAATACACTGTGTGTATCTCTATTAGGGATTTACAATCTTTGACGTCCGCAACAGCATTGTAAGGCATGCATGAGATAGTTAACTTGTTCAACCTGACAGTAGTCTAAAAATAATTCGAGTTTTATTTGTGATATGGTTCAAATTATTTTGTTATGTGAACGTTTGACCCCCCCCCCTTATCCTACAACTTAAGGATCTTAGCATTCAATATAAAATTATTTCAGAGTCGGATATCCGACGTGGCACTTGGCATTATCATTGGTATCATTTATACAGGGTGTCCAAAAAAACAGGACCGTAAGAATGTTGAATAACTCGGTCAATTTTGCATATTTTGCCTTGAAATTGAAGAATTATTTAGTTCATTCAATGTGAATTTTGTTCTGAAAGTTTGATGATAATCTGTCTATTGTGTCAAAAACTACAGTCCTTTACAAAACATGCTCAAAGTGGGCACTTCTCCTCTCTATGCACAAACGAATCCTGGGAACAAAGTTGTTAATGACCCTTACCAACACACATTAATGTGGATGGTAAATATTGGGGTAGTTATTGCCCTCTTAAGATTGTTAGGGGCCTGTCAGTATACACATTGGCTTTTAGAAATCCTCAAAGATAAAAATTTAGGGGATTTAGATCAGGCGAATGAGCTGCCCATATGGTTTGCATTCTGCAACTGATGAGCTGACCACCAAAGCATTGCCTAAACCATTTCAGCATATCATTTGCAGTGTTGGGGTGGTATTGGCTTGTTGAAACCACTGCTTAATTATCTCCTTAGATGTAACTTTTGGTGCTTAGTGACCTCCAAAACTTGGTGAGAACTTACTGGTCCTTGTTCATGGTGATAGCAAGTCCCCAGTCACCTTCGAACCAAAAGGGACTGATGATTCCATGTTTCCTCATTGCCACCCAGGGACTGCATTGTTCAGAATGCAATGGATGCTGTAACACTTCATCAGGAGGATGTAAGCCCCAGTAGCAATTGTTCTTGGAACAAATTTGTCCATTCAGAAAGACATGTGTGTAGGAGGATCATCAACAGCTTTGTTCGCCGGATTGATTTGTGTATAGAAATGAGATTTGCACATTTGGGGCATGTTTTGTAAGGAACTGTAGTTTTTGACTCAATTGGTAGATTATTATCAAACTTTCACAACAAAATTCACATTGAATGAACGAAATAATTCTTCAATTTCAAGGCAAAATATGCAAAATTGACCGAGTTATTCAACATTCTTACGGTCCTGTTTTTTTGGACACCCTGTATCTATTTATTTATTTCTCATATCGCCCCTTATATGGAATATACATAAACAAAGAGTATTGTAAATCCTAACTAACAAACAGTAAAACAATATTAGTAATTGAATTTTTTGCCAGCTTAAAAAAGAATTTTCATAGTTGTATAAGTAAAGTTTTGCTTGGCTTAATTAATTTCTTAAACTTCGGTACTTCAGTAAAACAATCAAAACACTTTAACACAAAATACCTACCACATTTGAGATTGATGCACCTTGTCTAATAACGTTTCAAAAAGATCAAGATAGTTATGGGTCTTTTCACGCCAGGACAATATTCTATGAGATAATTTTTGAAATGATCCATATTAAAATCACTGTAAACAACTTACAACATATGTTGTCTATGCATTCTGGTAACGAGTAGTAAATGGAGCAATCATTGTTCGTCGTGCATGATGTATAACCTACAAATGTTTCATGAAAATGCATGTATGTGCATCGAAATTTGAAATGTTTTTAAAATTACTTGTTTTTTCGAACATTAACTTGTACGTACCACAGAATCCGTCCACGCATTGAGGTCGCGATGGGTCAAGGCAGTGTTCATTGATTTCGCAAGTTAATGAAAGAATACATTATTTTTATTTCTTAACCGTTTTGGAAGATAACGGCACAAATGACAAATTAAATTCCTATACAATTGAAATAAACAGAATGCTGTATTCCAAAATAATAAAGCAAGAAACACAATTACGTAAAAAACAACAACTAAACCACTTTTTTTATACGCACTGTATTCACCTTTCCACAAAGTAAAGAAAATCGATAATTTCCGGCGCGCTGATTGGTTGTATGCAAATGAGTCAAATCAATGACGTCAATGATGGAAAGTTTTGAAGAATTAGTACAGCCAGCATAGGAATATTTTGAATTAACTGCTATAAAAAGGATTCTATTTGCCCAACGTACTACTTATTTTTAAGCAAATATGAAATATGGACGGGGTACTTTCTTTCCAAATCTTATGTAATTTAATTTAATCATTTTTTTGACAGAACTATTGTTTATTAAGACTTCTCAGATCAGCCTCACATACCCGGGCTCACGTGTCTCGTGCGATTGTAAACAAAAAATGTAAATTGTGAAGTTACAAACATCGGCTAAATTATCTGATAGTGGTCATACACTATCCTGTTAAATGGTTATTATGTCGTAGTAAGAAGTTCCATCAGAAATTCACCATGGGTGACATTCGCGCAAAGCGTTACCTTTTGGTATTTATTCGCCATCAGCGATGTCAATAATGATCAGCAATGTCAACATATCATCAATAAACATTATATGATATACGCTCTTTCTCTGAAATCTTCCAAGTGATCATTATTCAAAACCGATCATCACATAACTAATTTATCCAATGACAAGTGAAATCAGGACACCCATATCATATCCATGTTTGATTTCTATTAAGCGTTCTCATTCTCATTATTTTCGAGAAATCCATCATCATTTTGGTTAAGAAAAATTCTACGGTCTGTTGGATCTATTTTGACAGTTTTGCTTTAGCAAGATATTTTAACAAATTGACTGTTTCTACACTGAATGAAAAACATTTTCCCGGGGATATTTGGATCGGGAGATACGCAACGGGAAATATACATTGGAATATATATACATGTTTAACCCATACTTGGACGTATATTGGGAATATTTGAGAGAACAGGAAAATCCGCCAATGGCCAAGAAAACAAAACTGGACATGAATATTCTAAAATATTTCCACGATTGAACAATGTGAACCAGATGACCAATATTGGTATGAGATAAACATACTATCCTATAGTCGGTTCAGGATATTGGGATTATCCCTTGGCCAATATAATATATTTTCCCTCGGGACCTTCGGCCCTCGGGCAGATATATTATAATTGCCTCGGGAAAATCCCAATATCCTGAACCTCATATAGGATAATCTTTATATATGTCACGCTCCTCCAGGATATCAATTCTATATCCCAATGTTTTCAAGTATAATATTTTCAAGATACGATCTGATATGGCTTGCAGAAATAAATAGGAAGTAATCGTTTAGTTGATTGAATTATGGAAGTAGTGAAGTCAATGATTTAATGAATAAGAGCAAATATTTTTAATTTGAACAGGTCATTCTTCAAATGACACTGAAGATTAACTAAAAATAGATTGTCTATCTATACATTCTTATGCATGGGAGACATGTTATAATGTTGGTGAACTTATGATTATGATAATTTCACCTGTTCACATCCAGTTCCTATCATGATTGAAAACTGACCGGGAGTAATTCTCTTCAAATTATTTACTCATTATGAACAGAAATTTAATATTTAAATCGCTTAGAAGGCGTAAATAAATGTCAATTTGACGTTCAATAAAAGTCCGTCAATAATTTACTGATTACTTGCACATTTGAAGAGGTAAAACTTACAGCAATCAACCGAGGATTTACATGTAAACCCAATTGCATTTGTTTTTCGCGGGAAAAAGTTTCAGTCATTGACGTCACAGATTTTTAAGCAGCTCATTATAATATTCATGAGCTGACTTTGTGGAAAGGTGAATATCTCTTATGTTTATAACTTATAAAAGTGTGTGTACTACGTCATCATTTGTTTCGCATCATTTTAAAAGGTTGTACATAAGCGAGTAACTACTTATCTCACTCAGAAATCATAGTGGCACTTGGCATGACGTCATATTTGTATCCAATCCGCCTCGTCAACATGGAATACGGAGGAGAGGAAATTTATTCTTGACGAACATAAGAATTGATCGATGAAATACATTTCTGTCATGGTTAAACTATGAGTATTGGGTTTCAGGTGGAATAATAGCCGTGGGCCTAGGCCCGAGTGTTGCTACCTAGGTGGGTTTTAAATACGTATAAGAACATCTTTTTGCGAAACGCCAAATTTCAATTCACTTATACTTATAAAAATAAATTTTGCTTTCACTTTTGACTGAAATCTCTCTATTGAGACAGTGTTTTCGAAATTTACTCTGGACTCGTCTTCATCCATTCTTTTCTATTTAACAATCGTAAACGTCCTTACCTAGAATAAAATAAGAAACTGCAGATTATTCCCTACATTTCGCCTTAGTCCAAATATCAATGTTCAATTAGTTGTAGACATATAACTTTTGATATATTTCTAAATATGATTTCAGGCATTGTGTGTATGTTAAAAAATCATAGATTCTCTTCATGTGATTGCTTTTATGCGTGCTTACTGCATATCGACTGTTAAAACCAAGACTTGTTTATATAAATCAAGTCCAATCCACATCGATGTTCACTGGTGGAATTCAAATTATTTAACTAGAGACAAGTATTACATCAACATTAGTGTTTAATTTTGAAAATTTGATCAAATACATGTACCAATAACAGATTTGTATTAGGTCTTCACTTTGTTGATGAAGTTCATTTAAAGAACCAACTTAAAATTAATGAAAAGATGCTTATTTACTTCACCAAAACAAAGTCTTGTAAGGATTAGCTGTGGACCTCTATAGAGGTCCATGCACTAGCTAAGAACAGGTGCTACCATCTTTAGCCCCAGGGTAGGAAGGAATTTTGACGGGCATATTTTTGTCAAATTCCAAGCCCATGGTCACGTTGGGGGTCTCGTTCAAACTTTTTTATCATCAATGCAACATTGAGATATTTGAAAGGGAATATATTCTATTTGCTCCGTATAGTCAACTCATGGTCCACTTATATAACCATGTCGTACAAGTACTAGAATAGTAATGCTCGGTGCAACTTATTGAATCAAAGAAAAAAACATGACTGTTGAGGCTTTTCCAGTTATTCCTATATCACGTTTATGTAGCGACCCCTGAAAGAGTCTATTATGGCTAAATATGATGGAAAATTATTGTTATTCCGGAACCTGTATATCTTGATTTGACAATTGCTAGTTCATGAGGTTTGCCATAATTTTTTCATCGTTCTCAATGACACCATTGCAGTTGTAATCCCATATAGGGACCCTACCTACCACAGGAACATCTAACATAGCACAGCAAAGCTTAGAGTAGAAGTTCATATTGATAAACTCTTCCTGGCATTCATTAACGATATGCTTGGATATGATATCAACCCCTGGGGGTGGGATAGAGCTATAGTAACGCTCACAGAACGCTTGTCCCACTCGATTCTCTCGTGGCCCCCACACATCCTTGTAAGTGAAACCTTCACTTCGACGTCAACTATAGGCACCACTCCCATGTATAGTTCTCCCTTATAACCACTAGCGCCATCTGGTGAAAATGTAAGCTGCCCTAGCTTGTCGTCTACATCTTGGAATATACTGAATGTAGGACAGTACCTACAACGGTTTATTGTCATGTTTTTTAATATATTCATATATTAAGATAGTTCACATTTTTGATTTTTGTCGTAAGTTCATGATTATTATTTGATCTTAATCTATAATATATAGATATACACGTACAAAGGAATAAAAGATATAACAACACCTACACGTTATCCAAATTAGCACATGGGTACATGTAGTAAATGCAAACGTCTTGGTCAACCTGGGCAGTAGTGGCAGAGAAATACACATTCTGGAATGGCTGTATCACCCCAACACCAGGTATACCGGTGACATAAGGTTCCGCTTTGTACAGTCCTTCCCATGGCTGGGGGCTCTCTAGTGGAAGTTTGACAGGAAGCCTAGAACCAAAGTATGTTAAATCATAAAAAACAAGTAAAACATTATTAGACTTTGGAGACTACCCCAATGTCAATATTAAGATAAGAAAACACATTAAAACGAATGTAGTATGATCATCGGATGTTATTGTTTAAAACATGTTGTACATGTATTTAGTACGTTTGACTTTTGCCCATTTCATCAATGCCAAATACAAATTTAATCGTTATGGTGAGGACGATTGCACTCTGAAACAGCTAACCTCGTGTTGAAATCAACTTTAGCTGATGCAGCATCTTCCCATCTGTAAACTGCTGCAACAGAACGAAATAACTCTCCTAATAGAAAATGACTGCGATCACAGTCGAGATTTGACATCATCACCAACCCTCTTCCATCTGTATTGCCAATTATTTCGCTACAATACCCCTCGCTATAGCCAGTATTGAAGAACCATTTGCTTGAGGCTCGGCCATCCACTACCTCCGGCCCTAAGCCAAATGTGCCATCTTCAGTAGCTCTTGGGTTTCCTTGGCCATTTTTTAATTGAATGGTAAGCATACTGTCGGTCGACTGAGTATCTATGAAAAATGATATATTCAAAAATATAAAACTGCAACGAGAGGCATTAATCCTTTCAGTAAAGGATTTGAGTCGAGCACTGGATGTATTTCGGATGGTTAAATCCAATAATGTGCTGTTTCAAGTCATTTGCATGAATGCAGGAGCACAGATGCAAAGTCTAGGAAACAATGCATGAGTAGGCAAATGAACCACAGTGCATTGAGAAATGTGCTTACATTTTTCACATTCATATTAATACAATATACTTTATATATCTTATACAACATAAAACAATGACTTGTTGGCAAGGACATTTTTGCAAGGGCATTGCTGTTTTTAAAGGATATATATTTGTATTATTCGACATGAGTCGAATATATGTTGATAACTAACTAAGGATAGAACCTGCATCACCACTCTTCCCTTTGGCCACATTAATTACCAACTTTGCCAGATCTCCTACATTTGAGCACAATTAGTTGAATATACATATTCCTCACTTACTGAGAATAGAACCTGCATCACCACTCTTCCCTTTGGCCATATTAATTACCAACTTTGCCAGATCTCCTAAATTTGAGCACAATTAGTTGAATATACATATTCCTCACTTACTTAGAATAGAACCTGCATCGCCACTCTTCCCTTTGGCCACATTAATTACCAACTTTGCCAGATCTCTTACATACATTTTAGCACAATTAGTTGAATATACATATTCCTCACTTACTTAGAATAGAACCTGCATCGCCACTCTTCCCTTTGGCCACATTAATTACCAACTTTGCCAGATCTCCTACATTTGAGCACAATTAGTTGAATATACATATTCCTCACTTACTGAGAATAGAACCTGCATCACCACTCTTCCCTTTGGCCACATTAATTACCAACTTTGCCAGATTTCTTACATACATTTTAGCACAATTAGTTGAATATACATATTCCTCACTTACTTAGAATAGAACCTGCATCGCCACTCTTCCCTTTGGCCACATTAATTACCAACTTTGCCAGATCTCCTACATTTGAGCACAATTAGTTGAATATACATATTCCTCACTTACTGAGAATAGAACCTGCATCACCACTCCTCCCTTTGGCCACATTAATTACCAACTTTGCAAGGTCTCCTACATTTGAGCACAGTTAGTTGAATATACATATTCCTCACTTACTTAGAATAGAACCTGCATCGCCACTCTTCCCTTTGGCCACATTAATTACCAACTTTGCCAGATCTCTTACATTTGAGCACAATTAGTTGAATATACATATTCCTCACTTACTGAGAATAGAACCTGCATCACCACTCTTCCTTTTGGCCACATTAATTACCAACTTTGCCAGATCTCCTACATTTGAGCACAGTTAGTTGAATATACATATTCCTCACTTACTTAGAATAGAACCTGCATCGCCACTCTTCCCTTTGGCCACATTAATTACCAACTTTGCCAGATCTCTTACATTTGAGCACGGTTAGTTGAATATACATATTCCTCATTTACTTAGAATAGAACCTGCATCACCACTCTTCCCTTTGGCCACATTAATTACCAACTTTGCCAGATCTCCTACATTTGAGCACAATTAGTTGAATATACATATTCCTCACTTACTGAGAATAGAACCTGCATCACCACTCTTCCCTTTGGCCACATTAATTACCAACTTTGCCAGATCTCCTACATTTGAGCACAATTAGTTGAATATACATATTCCTCACTTACTCAGAATAGAACCTGCATCACCACTCTTCCCTTTGGCCACATTAATTACCAACTTTGCCAGATCTCTTACATTTGACCACAGCCCTTGAGCAGCAGATTCTGGGTATGTGTTCCAGTTTCCTAAGTAAAAATGTTCAATGATATATTAGTTCTTCAATGAAGTTAGTTGAGTCTACTATTTTGTAAGTATGTAAACTTAGGAGGAGTTCTATTTCATTTGTTCTTTCTTTATGTATAAAACTTGGTGTTCCTATTATCACGAGGCTTCATGTAAGACATATCATGATAATTGGTTAATAAACATTTCACCACACCATCAAAATGTTGATGTAGTCATCAGTGTTTATGTTTCTGTCTATAAAGTGCATAATGGCTAAAAAAATCCTCGAATATCTTCCGCTACAATTTCCCATCAGAAAAAAAAGAAATTAAAAAAAAAGAATTTGCCATTGCAAATATGATAGTTTGAAATCGTGTACATTGACTTCACAATACTACAATATTTATCATACATGTTCCAAAAGATAAAGGTGTTTGAACTTTAAACCCTATTTTCTCAAAACCACAAAAAATCCACTTGGGAAACACTGGTTCTCATGCGACGATATGTATTTTGAATAGTGATGCAAGCTTGAAACCCTATCGGAAATTATGTGCTTCAATTCTTTCACGATTACATGAGAATGGATACGTATATTTTCTGCAAAACGTAACCAGTCTCTCAAGCGTATCGACTATTAGCAATTATGATTTAGTGCATTTCCTCTTAGAATATGTCTAGAACAGTGGAAATTACATGTTTTAAAGTATACCTGGAATCGCACTTTCTTCTGAGCTGTTGCAGTGATGGCCAAATGCAATACCATCAATGTCGGTGTAGTCCCTAATGGCAAAGCTACTCGATGACATATTAGCCTTGTCAAGTACCTTAACACCAAATAAGAGAAATTATGTCTGCACCATTAATCTAGTGGCAAATCTACTAGATAAGCCTATACTTTATCAATGACTAATGACAATAGCTCTATTTCCGGAGTTGGAAACTGCTTTTATAAAAAACATATCAATATAGCTCACCAATTGTTGGACAATTGTCCTGAATGATTGACCTGTGACATCTTCGAGCACTTGTTGCAGGGCTGCAAATCCTCCTGATGAGTAATCCTCCTGTGTACCAGGGGTAAAGGGACCATTGAATATAATATCGAGAAGATCCTCTATCAGTTCCACTTTAGGGTTATTGGCTGGACCTGACTTAGACAACGTCTGTTGTAAGGTTGGGAGAGCCTGTCCCCGTGTATATCCATCGAATTTGTCAACAGTAACAGCCCCACTGTGACTGAGTAGATGTTTTAGTTTCACTCTGTTGTCTTGCCTTCTTTTATAAGACATCTATTAAAATACAATAAATGCATACAAACGTTTTAGTACATGCACATATATGATTTGATATGTTGCATTGTTGTAGTGGCTAAATAATGTATTTTACCTTCCAGTTCGAAGTTAAGTAATCATTGATATTAGTCTCAAGATTTAGTGTTCCGTTTTCCACATATTTGAGAGCTGTGAGTGCACTAAGGAAACTGCTAATGGTACCCGCTTGGTAGATGATGTCTGCTGTAGCTGGTTCGCCTAAAACAATATAAAATTGGATAATCGAAAAGTTTTATTTGAATAAAATTCAAAAAAAAATATCAAAATAAAGGCTGTTCTATACATGTATTCCCTACCGAGTTTATGGAAACCAGTTGTGATTTTCTGTGGTACTTTTTCCGGAGCAGTAATGCAAGCTCGTTCTTGAAAAACAAGACAAGATTCCATTTCTTTACTACGACATACAATTATCAAATATTTTAAATACCATTTTGAGCTTCTCCATAGCCATCCGCCCATTCCACCTGGTAGTTGTTAATCACAGCTACAGAAATACCTACAAAATGGAGTGCTATTATGACAACAACATCATGATCATTAAAATATGAGGAATTCTTATAACTTTGATGTGTTTCATTTCCGCAAATATACGTTCATACCTGGTACAAACCAGTGTTCCATACGTTCAGCAAGTGATTTAGTCTCATTCTCTCTTTCTGTTCCTACGAAATGCTCAAATGGAATCAGATTATCCTCAACTGCTTCCTTCAATGACTGTCCTTAAATGAACAAAAAGCATGACATGACCCTATTAAGGATGACTTTCGGTATTGCAAATTGTTGTTGAAAACGTCACCAAATCACCATAATTGAGAAGATAGTTTTAATAAAGCTACACAGTGCCATTGGAGATCTTGTCGGTTTATCAAAAAAATAAAAAATATCAAAGTGTGAACTTATTTTTCTTCTTGTATGGATATGGGTTAAACGATTTTAAACGTTGATCAGGGCTACATGAAGTTTTCGTTACATGAATACGCGGAGGCGTAATGTGTGTCATATGAATGATTAATATAAGAATTGGCATTTGTTTGAAATAATACAACAATGGTCATTCTGGTTATATAGTTGTCTCTGAGCTAATAATAAAACCATCAAGATTAGCCTAGACATAAATATTCTTACCTGATACTGACAACGTCAATATGATAAGTTTCATGAAGTTCATCATCATAGTAGGCTACACGAATCGGTATTGAGATATCTTGCTTGTTTAGAAATAGGTGAGCGTCAATTGAAATTTGTGAGCTTGGGGTCAACTCGCTACAAAAGATGAACATGCTCTGAAAAAAAACCTGCTTTGTCAATTCTTGTTAGGCCATTTCGTAAGACAAGACCGTATAAGTTATGTTTCGTTTCCTGTTTAAATTCTACGTTTGAGTTTTATATAAATAGGTATTTATAACCTTGGATGTTGACATGTGTGTTCATTCATCGTGTATCGACTCAAAATATAACTAAAATGCTTAGGTCAACAATGAGTTTCAAGTTGTTTTTAATCAAGTATATTGTCTGTTACTCCTCTTGGACCTAGATAAGACACTTTTCTTCATTAAGCTGGTTGTAATATGAGTTGACATAACATTCTATTGAGTGTGATTATTTCAATTATCTTTTAGGGGTTGGGGTGAATTGTCCGTGAATAGAATGAAATATTTGCTTTATTGCAATTTTCTAGACATTTTGACATATTTTTTATTCCTTTTTATTCATAAAAAACATTTGAAAGCAATTACATTTACATATACTGTTCAATATTAATAATCATCACACACCTAGAATATGAAATAATTAAATGGAAAAAGTGGAAATGCTTTATTCTATAGATTAATCAGTCATCGTGCATTAAAAAGAAAATTGGATGTATTTCAGGATACTTTTCCCCTATATTCTAACAATATTTTAACATTGAGAATTGGATGGTTCAATAGAAATACAAAAAACAGATCAACTGAACATCTCTTACTTAACTGTTACAGATATGAACATTATGTTGAACCACAACGTAAGAGCTGAATCTCTGAATTGGAGTCTCGAAAATATATAATTTTTAAGTCCTCCATAAATTTAAAAACCAGACTGTTGATTTAATTCAAGATGGTGTCTTGAATAAGAGGGAGTAGTTTCTACAAGTGAAGTCCTGATATCGTGGGAGTATGCAGCCACGAGGGAGACAAGGCAACTGCCCCATCTATTTATAATATAACTTTGATATGTTTTGCACTGGAACATACACACATGTTTAGAACATCTAAAAGTTGAGTCCTAATATCATGAGAGTGTTAGATACCAGCCAGTGGAGGCAACTGTTTTTATCAATTTGTCACTTATACTATGACAGTTTTGGACATTTACAAGTAAATTAAAGTCATGATATGATGAATATATTTAAAATGCAAATATTAAGTATAACTGGTCAAAGATATGCTATGCCGAGAGAACGATACAATTTTAATTTATTCAAATATACTGTTGTCCATACCGCAATTAAGAATATATAATTAATTTTTATGATACTAAATAAATATAACTAGTTTCGAAAATGATATTCTGGTAAAACATTAATATTAGTTTAAATAGAACTACATTTACTATTTATTGTTGGTTTATGTGCAAATAATAATCCAAGAAACCGCCTAGGCACACCTGATTTAATTACCATATTTAATTCTGGCAATTGCTTTAAGGTTTGAACAGGTGCGTAGCAAACGGAATTGAGGTAAATTCTGTCCTTGTTCTGCTACAAAACAACAAAAGTAAAAAGATGGAAACTCGAATATTAATTGCAATTTATTATTTTGAACCAATGGCAAAATATTATTCTTATTTCTTCCGGAATTGTTATTCGACTTCGTCTTTTCTGGTACCCCGAAACCATCTCTGGGCCCTTGTATGTCATCCCATGTTTATTACAAGTTTTGGTTTGGCACGTATTCGTATTCAACGACCATGGACCAGTGTGAAAATATATTTAAGTTTGAATATTTCATCAAGACTTACATCTATTTTTATTATCTATAAAGAAACCCCCTAGATAAACATTATTTCAGCTGATATTCATTTTGAAACATGGTGGATCTTAAAAATATATAAGTGGATTTCCCCTTTTTTAAGCTTTGAACTGAATTTACACTAGTTTCTTAATGCTGATAGTGATAGTTTGTCCATACATTTTAAGAAAATGGGTATGTCAAAGAAGATGTTAAGCCAAATGTTGCCTTGATAGTACATTAAAAGTAAACTTTTTCTTATTTCTCTCTACAGGCCTTGTCGCCCCTTTAACAAACTAAGTCGAAAGGTAACTTATTTTCAATATTTGACAAGACGGTAATCTCCCATCTCGATACGGCGCGCCATCTATACTTCATATGCCCATTTGCATTCCTCAGTCAAGCCACGAATCTCTTTCACATTTGATCAATGTAAAAGTTGAAAAAATGAAATTTTAGATTGAGATATAAATGCATATACCATTAGCCATGGGGCTTAAGAAGCATTTCTCAAAATATTTTTATTACCCTTTAAACAATTACTTGATTGTGCATCAAAACGTAAATATACTCTTAAATTGCTGGTGTCGATGATGGTGCATACATAGGCCTACATTGATTCATGTTTCAAAATGAATTTTGAGTTTAAAGATAAACTAATGTATTAAGTTTGAATTATTTAATCACATGAACAAAAATAAATTGCAATAGTTGTTGTTTATCTTAACAAGAGAATTTTATTAAGATAATCATTGAAATACATTGTTTTGAGTTTCCCTAAAGATAATTAATTTCAAGATTTTGTTCTCTAAGCTAAATAATATGCCAAGTCAATTCCTCGATCGACAAAATGAATGTACAAATTAGACACACATGTCTTCTTACATCAAAATACAACATTGTTACGAATAGGTCAATCACTCCTCCTTGTGATATTAAGTGTTATTTAACAGTGTCGCTGATGGTCGCTTAGGTTTTTAAACAATAACGTTTACATAATTTACACATTTAAGGTCGTCTTTTATTGCAATTAAAGCATGTAAATATTTCTCCAATGAGTATCCCCTTTACACGAGAACATTTTGAGCACTTGATCGATTCGAACTGCGATTGTAAATACGAATAATAGTTGACACCAGATGCCTCGCAAATATTTACAGTGTCTGTTCTTTATATCGGGCCTTTCCTTTTCTTCGCGGAAACAATTGTGTCTGAAGACTTTGAACTTGTAGACGGGGTTACTAAAGGCCGACGCTTCAATGTGGTTGAAAGAGTGGAAACGTCGGAGGGCGTCGATGCTTTACTTGACGTACTGGGTGTCGGGTGTGCTCGTCGTGTGGTCCGTTTTGGTTTTAAAGATGGTTGCTCGGTGACCACCTTAGCTGCCTGCTGGTTCTTCCTAACGGTTATAAGGTTGTTCTTTTGCCAACCACAGGGTGAGGATGACGTAGCACGATAATTCTCGCGTTTCAACAATATTATCGGAAACCCCTCTCACAGCATTGATTCGAAAGGTACCTGGTACTGGTTTAAGTCCAGTCGCCCTATCTTCAATGTTTTAATAATGCGTTCTGGGATTTCTTGGATTTTCATTTGTGTCCTGGCAGTTTCACTTTGAGACTCTGAGCGTTCCCTTCAGTCTGGCGTGTTTTGATTGTTTCTCTATACACTTGGCCCTGTATTCCCGGGATGCCTTGTTGTTCTTTTCTCTGATCCGTTGAAGAGCTTCAGCAGACAGGTTATTTCTCGGTGTATACGATGCTCGCTGTCGCAATCGTTCTTGCTCTAAGTAGCCTTTGTTATCTTTCTTTTTCTTTCTCTCCCTGTACTGTAGTGTGTGGTGTTATATACTTAACACTAGACTAACAGTTTATAAGATTATCAAGACTTTATTGCTGGATAAAACTTAGGACCGCATGGCTTCTACATCCGGGCACTAGACAGCCCAATCTGATGACGTCACACATTAAGGTGGACGATGAGTTAACAATTAAGGTGTACCAGAGTGTACTAACACTACATCCCCCTTTCGAGATGCTTAACAGAATCTTTACAGAATACATGAAATGATATTGTATCTTTAATAAGGCAATAAAGAAGTGTTCCTTTAAATGTTACACCTTAATACAACTAAATACATGTTGCAATGTCTCTAACATGTCATACAGTTTTACATAAATGTTTATATCAAATGTTTTGACAAATAAAAGGTTTGCATCATTATAAACATGCTTCATCTGAGATCAACTATAGAAACCATAGAAACATATACAATACAGCTAGAATGTTAATAAAGTCTAAAATGCATAACATTGTTTCATGTTACAAATCAAGTCTATCTACTGGCTTGCTTAGTCTGCCTGACCTAGTAACAACATGTCGTCTCTCTGGAGACTTTTGCTTTGCTGCAGGTATTGATATCTGTACCTTAGTTTCATGATCTATTTTTGATTCACAAGTAGCATTTGGTTGTACCTTGTTATCATTATGACTTGTTTGTGATTCTAATGGATCATAAGTGTTTTCTAATTCAACTTCATGTTCCTCACAAGGTATCACCATGCTCCTGTTTCTTCGATAACTGTTACTGTTCGTTTCTATATTATATGATCTGGTTTTGACTGCTTCAGTGACCTGACCATGTTTCATTTTGTCTTTGATATATACCACTTGACCTTTCTGAAGCTCAGGGAGAAGTTGGGTTCTATGCCTTTTGTTATAGTCAACAGACATCTTAAGTCTCTGAGATCCCTCCCTTTCTCTGAGATTCTGTTTATTGTATAATTTAGGTTCAAGTTTACTTGATGCCATTGGTACTGTAGTTCTGATACGTCGCCCAAAGAGTAATTCACTTGGACTAAGTCCATATGCCAAAGGAGTAGCTCTATATTCCATCAGAGCGAGATACGGATCTTCTGCTTTCTTAAGCAGTGATTTTACAGTCTGGACTGATCTCTCAATTTCACCATTACTCTTTGGGTACATTGGTGAACTAGTGACATGATTAAAACCATATTCCTCAGAAAACTGTTTGAACTCCAATGATGCATAATTTGGTCCATTGTCTGATCTCAAAGTTTCTGGAATGCCATGGCGACTAAAGATTGATTTCATACTTGTAATTGTGTCTTTAGATCGATATCGGTCTAGCTTAGCCAGCTCCACATATCGAGAGAAATAA